AGGAGGAGGAGGAGGAGGAGGAGGAGAAGGAGAAGGAGGAGAAGGAGAAGGAGAAGGAGGAGAAGAAGAAGAAGAAGAGAGAAAGAAAATGTATTAATGCTAATGTACTAGAAAATACTTCTTTATATATTGTGATCTACTGGATTCTGGAAAGAGGAAGACTTTGACCACTTTGTCTCTTCTCTGATCTTTGCTTGTGATGCCCAGACCCTTAGGACACTCCAAAGCAGAGTCGTCCCTAACCTTAGCACCCTCTCCATGCACAAATGCTCAAAGATACAATTTTCTTTTGATCTGAAAAAAGAAGACAAAAGATAGAGATAAGTTCTCCTTGGACTGATTGTTTAAGGTCTAAGGTCCCTCTGTGCCATGTTAAGCACTGAATTCTAAGAAACAGAGATATATGTATTCTTTTAAAATATACGCTTTTTGTGACTGTCATAACAGAACCTTTGAAACCACAGGCTGAAAACAGGCACTTCTCACTAGCTGACCTAGTCAGAGTCTGTTAATAGGGACAGAACACAAACAAAACCTGGGCCATTAACCTGTTACTCATTAAAAAGCACAATTTACGTTTGTGTGTTTTCTTCTAAGTTAGACAAAGACCTGAAGATAGTTTTGCTAAAGATCATGACTTTTCACTTATGCCTACAGATGCCCAATAGACAGAGAACAAAGCCTGACCTTCATTTTGTAAAACTCTGAGTCAGTTCTACATACAGGAATGCTAGTCATTTAGGGAAGATCTGCCTAAACAGATCTTGGAAAAACAAGGCTTCTTAGCTTAAATTTACCTAGCTTATCACATTACCCAAGAGTGAGGACACCAGAGTAAGAACTGTACCTAAAGATCTTCACAGCAATAAACCTAAGGTCACCTCAACCAAATTGCCCCTCAGGTCACGAGGACTCCTCTGGTGCTATGACTCTAAGACTCAGATCGTGGTTGACTGGAGCCCAGGCCATGAGCAGGCCTTAAATCTGGCCCTAGTAGGTCCTTTGCTTGCAGCAGCTCTGATTCACCTCTGCTGACATGATTCCCTTCCATTTCTCAGGCTGAAAACATTTTCTTTTTCCTTTTCTTTTTTTTTCTTTCTTTATGTATTTAGTACAGGGTCTACAGGGTCTCACTACACAGATTGGATTCATAGTGATCCTCTTGTTCTCAGCCTCCCAAGCGCTGGGTACGCACTACCATGCCCAGTCTCAGTCTCGGGCTCGGTGCGCCACGTGGAGGAGGCCAGTGCGGCACTCCAGGATTCAACCCTGGCCACTGTGCTCTACCGAAGCAGGTGCTTTAGTCTACTGAGCTACCTGGCTGGCCCTGAAGACCTTTTCTATGTTCTCTTAATGTCTTTTATTGGGTACCCCCCCAAAAAAAATTAATTCCTTCTTACCTTCTAATTAAAGCTTTTGCCTATAAGATCATAGTCTTTTTTTGTTTTTTACTTTTTTTGTATTTTTAGTACAAGGTCTCACTACACAGATTGGACTGGTAGTGATCCTCCTGTTTTCAGCCCCCCAAGTGCTGAGATTACAGGTGCGCATCACCACACCCAGTCTCAATCGCCCTTTCAGTGTGCCCCAGGGACGGGGTCAGCACGGCTTGCTGGGATCAAACCCTGGTGCCTGCGTCTGCCTAAGCAGGTTGGTTTAATCCACTGAGCTATCCTGCCAGCCCTACTTCTTTAGTTTTAATTTTCACTGTCACAAGGAACTGCGCTAGCCAATGACATAAGGATAGCATTGCTATCTTTTATAAAGGTACACTATTAGTTCAGGCCATTTCATGGAACAGAAGAATAACCTCTGAAATGGAGTATCTTGGGAAACTGTTGTTTGAAAAACCCTGCCTTGGGCCACTTCTGAGCCCAAAACATTTCTGCTTTGCACTGCCTCAGGATGAAAAAGATCTTAGCTTTTTGTAAAGATTCCTTCATTTGTGGATTTTTACCAAAAGATTGGGAATTATAAATATTTTGAATCTCTTAGGGTAATTTCACCTCTTCAAAACTCAGAGTGTTACAGTTGAATGAGCAAATGATAGTCCAAGTTCTGTTGTGCAACCAGGAAAGAATTGCCAAGCATGCACCTAGTAGTAAGTAGTAAGCAACTATGTTTGTTGAAGATCACCAAGTGTCGTGCTCAGGGCCAGTCTGTGCCAACAAAAGTGTGACACAGAACATGAAAGGTGCCAGGGCCAGTAACTCGGGCTTTCAGAGTGTAAGGGCCAGACACCTCTGTTTTGGGAGCCTCCCAGGGAACCAATTCATCTCGTGAGGCCTGGGTTCTCCCATGGGGCATCAGTGATCTCCCAGGCTGACGTCATTTATTTTCCACCTCTCTTAGGATAATAAAAGCAAAAGTGACTTGTTTGGTGTTGCTTAGACTTAAATGGATGGAAGTGACTCATGTCCTTTGTTTCTTACTGCACTAGAAGCACAAATACATAAAATCATTATCCATCCATTAAACAGCAATACGCTGATTGGTATTTCCCATTTGGAGTTGGGTTAATGAAACAATTGCTTTGGGCCTCAGAAAGCGCAGCTACTCGCAGGCCTCCCTCATGCTTGGCTTCCTGTCCTTCCTGTCCTAAAATGGACTTTGATGTTTAATGATCTGATGCCTGGAAAATTGCAGAGCTTCTAACAGGAACAGAGAGAATTCAATGTGGATCTTTGCATGTGCATTGTCTCACATCAGTACATTTACTTCACAGAACTATGATTTTTTTGTAGCAAGGTATTTTGGGACAGTGTTTCACTCATGTGGCCCCAGAAGTGCCTACATCAGAATCTCCTAGAGTCCTTCCTGAAAATATGGTTTTCTGGGCCTCCTGGATCCAAAGACTGACGCCCTGGCATGCTTTCTCATCTCAGATTTCAAGCTCAGAGTCACACAGTCTTGAACAATGTGCTATGGCCGAGTTATAATAGTTCCAATAGTTAAGTTTTTTTCCCTTTCCTGCTGATTTTTTTACATATTTAATTAGAAAGCATAAAATGAAGTGAAGGAACAAAAATCAGGACAAATGTCATTGCCAGTTTTTTTTCAGGGAGCAATCAGTGAAATATTAACAGGGACATGTTACAAGGCCATCTCAAGGTAGCTAAGCCAAAATCAAATATTGTCCTATTTAACCTACAAGGGAAAGAGTCCAGAGTTTATCCTGCACAGTGCAAGAATTTTCATGTTTTATATATAGTGATTTATTTTTCAGACACTGATGCAACTTTTAGAATTTTCTACAATGCAGTGACTAAAAAAATATATAAACAGCTACATTATACAGCTCATTGAGTATCACTAAGCTGTTCTGCACTAGCGTACATTTCAATTTAATATAGAACTACATTTTTTTGCTTTAAAAAGGCAGCACTAATTATATTTTGGTTTTTGTTCTAGATTCTTAACAGAATTAAGGCAACAGTCAAATATATTAAGTGAGGGCCAGGAATATAGCTCAGTGGCATAAATACCTGCCTAGCAAGCAGAAGGTCCGGAGTTCAATCTCTGGTACTGAATTTAAAAAAGGTATATTAAGTGAAGGTAGTTGTAATGTAAAGACAATCATAATCCCTTGCAATCTGCATTACTGTATAGTGTTTGTGTGCAATGAAGCCAGTGTAACTTCATTGGTGTTTTATGGCAATATGTGACAAACGTGAAGATACCACAGAGCTAAAGTAGTATGAAGAGTGCTATGCATTACCTGAGAAAAACACGACTGGTTCTTAGGCAGGGCTCAGCCAGTACCTCAGTCTAATCACAATGGTTTGTAGAGGCATCAGGTTTCCAGGCTGGTTTTACAAGTGTGAAACTTTGCTGCTCATTTTAAATCAGTTTCACTTTCCATTTTCTCTTCCCTCTCAAGCAGCCAATGATTTGGAAACCAGGAGAAGGCAGCAGCTGCTGCAATACCCACCCCCACCCCTGCCGCACGGTTATATAGTCTCTTTAGCATTTACTGCGGGCAGCCAGGAAGATTTCTGAAGAGCAAATCAGGCTGCAGCTTTTTGGAACAACTGAGAGGCAGATTACAGCCATGAGGTTAGTGAAACAAATGTCTAGCTGCTCGTTTTCTGGAAAGCCAGTTGTAAACTGAGCTTCTTACTATGTGCAGGGAGGTTTATGACTTACAGATTCAACATGCCTGAAGCCCTTGGGACCTTTATCAATTGTTTGTTGAATTTGTTTTCTTTCTGTGGCTTTTCCTTGGAATCCTTGAATTCCCAGAATTGCTCACTGGATGGAGTTGTTAGGTAGAATAAAAGGAAGGGTTAGCTCCACCCTGGCACACATTTGTGATTGAAGGCTGGATCATTATGTTGTTTCTAATGACTAAGCCAGAGACTTTTTGTTTCTTGGGAGCGTTAGAAACATTTATTTTTTGCAGACCTCATGGGAGATGAAGCAAGTACAGCACACCAAGTCACGCAGATCTGAAACATTTGCTATTTTGAAGGTGGAAGTGAAAGAAAAAGTTTAAACTGATGGGTGATAGGATTACCATGGTGTCACAGCAGAGAAACAGGCAGAACAAGAGAGGGAAAGGGGCTTTATTATAAAGGGCAGGGGCTTTATTATCTTGGAGGATATGGAGAGAATTTGGGGAAGATTAGGAATCCTCTGGATAGGAAGAAAGAGAGGTTGAGGCTTTTATGACCTTTTCAGGGGTGGGGCTTGAGGGGGAGGTTTAGATACACCTGAGGAGCTGACTGGGGCCTTCCCTGAGGTGGGAAAGGAAAGGAAACTGCACCCTGGGCTGAGTTGGAGAAGAAGGGGGAGGTGATCTCTGGGAAGATGAGCTGTTCTTTTAAGGACTTCAGTCATATTGGATGACCACCATAATAATTCAGCAATTCATACTAGAGCCAGAGCCTACCAATGGGCATTTTAATTTTTAGCTTGTAATTAAAAAACACTTAGTTTTGAAGCTTTATTCCACTGTGGTGAATGCTTGTAGCAGCAGTAAACAATTTCTTCTCAAAAATATAATTACTTAATCTCTGATACAATACTGGCCTAACTTTTAGTGGCAGAAAGCAGACCAGTGTTTGCCTGAAGGTGGGGGCAGTGGAGTAGCAAGACATGGGAAGTGATCTCTCAGCGTGATAGAAGTGCTCTATGTGTTTACATGGGTATAGACCTCTGTCCCCACTTGGCAAACTGAACCTTATGTGGGTGCATTTAATGATATGTAAAGTATACTCTCAGAAGACTAGATTTTTTAAAAAGTATATAACGTTATTTTAAGAGTTCTGCCATTGGGGGCTTGCCAGATAGCTGAGTGGACTAAAGCACCTGCTTAGGGAGAACATAGCAGCTTGGGTTCAATCCCTGACATGCTGTGCCAGCCTTGTCCCTGGGGCATGCTAGCTGGCAATTGAGACTGGGCATGGTGGCGCATACCTGTAACCTCAGCTCTTGGGAGACTGAAAACAGGAGAATCATTGAGTATGATCTATATAGTGAGACCCTGTATTAAATATGAGAGAGGGAGAGAGAGAGAGAGAGAGAGAGAGAGAGAGAGAGAGAGAGAGAGAGTTGGAGAGTTCTTCCATTGGTACAGCTGCTGTGACAGCTAAGAGAAAAATACAGGGGGTTCAATCCCCAGGCATGCTGTGCCAGCCCTGTCCCAGGGCATACTGCGGGCCTGTAATCCCAGCTCTTGGGAGGCTGTAAACAGGCTGATCACTATAAGTCCAATCTAGTAGTGAGACACTGAACACCCTGTAGACCCTTCCCTAAATATTAAGAGAGAGAGAGAGAGAGAGAGAGAGAGAGAGAGAGAGAGAGAGAAACACAGTTATCTCACAAAGACCTATGGGAAATGATGGAGGGGTTCAGTCAGTTGCCTAGGACCCTATTGGCAGTGCACACAGGGAGGTAAGGAAGACCAGCTGGCCAATTTTAGCCCCCAAAACTTGCAAATGTTCTGCAAAGCCACACTTGGAGATGGGATGCGTGAAAGGAATTCACTGTCAAGTATCTCAAGTTATCATTGCTATAACAGGATCCTGATCAAAAGAGATGGAAACTGTCAGTAGGTTGACCAGCCGCCTCCCAGTGCCTTAGTAGGCAGCCTTCATAGGAGGTTCTGCAATGTTTTGTGCTCAGGTGTGTCAAGAGCCACTTAGGGGGCCAGGGACATGGCTCAGTAGAATAAGTACTTCCCTGGCAAGTGCAAGGGCCTGAGTCCAATCCCCAGTTCTGCCAATAAATAAATAAATAAATAAATAAATAAAGCCACTTAGTCCAAGAGGCCTGAGGGAGAACCTCTGGAATATGCTGGCCTGAAGCCCATATCAAGGTGCTCTGTAGGGGCAGAGGCAGGTTGTTTTTGTTCCTCAGCAGTGTCAAACATCACCAAAAGGGGCAATCACCACAGGACACCAGCTATGAGAGTCCTCCAGGGTCCCACTGAGAAACTTAGTGTGACAATTTGTGTTATCAGAGTCCTAGGCCAGTAGTCTGGTGTTAGGGTTTGTATCTAGTTGTCCTCCCAAAGCCTCATGCAGTTACTGGAGCAGGCTTCTAGAAGCTGTGGTCAATTAATGAGCCAATGCTGGGATTATGGGTGTGAGTGCTACACCCGCCCTGGGCCGGACAGCCTGCATACAGTGTGGGGAAGGGAGAGAGGCTTGCTAGCTGAGGGCAGCCGCTGCTCCGCCCTTTGCTCTTTGCTGTTTTCTGCCACCATGACCTGCTACCCTCTGCCATGTGCCAGTATGCCTTGGAGCCAGCTGAGGAGTATGGATTGAAACCTCCATTAACTGTGAGCCAAATAAACCTTTTGCTCCTTAATTTTGGGTGTTGAGTATTTTGTCCCAGCAATGAGAGGAAAGTAACTGAAACCCCTGACGTTCACAGAGATCCCAACAAACCAGTAGCCTTAAGAGTCCAATTAGACAAGAGTGGTGATGAAAGATTACTCAGTGTGACCACCAGGGGGAGCAGGAAGAAGACTAGCCCTCTACAATACAGACTGTCTTGGTGGTGCTGACAAGAGCTTTGCTTTTGTATAGGGCAACAAACAAGAGCGTAGGGCAAGAAGTGTCCATGGGGAGGCAGTCTTGGTCAGGCTGTGGTCTGGCTGATGGTTCTATCTCAGGTCTGGTTCTGTGAGGTTCTGCGGAGGAAGCCATCGTGGCTGGGGTGACCATCCAGTTTCCAACTTGAGGTGATAGCTCCTGTTCAGGAAGGCAGTTTCACGGGGTAGGGGAATCTGCCTTCAAGGCTCACTGTTTCTGGAATCTTGAAAAAATCTTAGCTGCTCTTATTTTGGTATCTTCAGACTTTGTAGAGGATGAAAGAAGCTAGGTTGGGGCCGGGGAGATGACTCAATGGAATAAGTGCTTGCCTGGCAAACACAAGGACCTGAGTTCAATTCCCGGTTCTGAAAAAAAAAAAAAAAAAAGGCTAGGTAAACTTGGGACAAATCAATCTTTTAGTACCAGTGTTAAGACAGGTGGTCCTTAATGATTAACATGTCTACGTGCACTCCTTAGTGAGATGTGGAGGTCCACGTGAAGACTCAGTGCTTTCAGGAAAGGCAGCCTCCCAGTCTCAGCTACTTTTGCGCAATTGCCATCTTTCATTACTTGCTTAAAGATGAATTGGGGGGGGGGGGCTGGAGAGATGGCTCAGTGGTCTAAAGCACCTATTTGGAACAAGCTTGGAAAAGCATAGGGACCGCGGTTCGATCCCCCAGCACCACATGCCAGCCAGCCGCGCCCCCTGGTGGGCTGAGCTGGCCACACACACACACACACAAAATAAATGTTCAAAAAAAAAAAAATGAAATAGGGTTTTATTTTAGTCAATCATAAAACTGTCTGCCCCCCCCCCCAAAAAAAAAAGAAAAAACAAAACTGTCTGGCCCACTCACGCCCTTCCCTGAGTAGCACTCTCTGCTTTCCCACAAGGCAGCGAAAGGGTTCTGCGGCAAGTGGGAGCTAAGGGCAGGGAACTGACTGGACCTCAGCAAGAATGCCTACAGGGATGCACGCTCTAATTCTTTCAGGCATAATCTCCTCAATAAATGCTGGAAACTGGAGGAAACTCAAGGGGATGCAAGTCTTTCTTTAATTTCTTGTATTAGATGCAGACAATACCAGAGACTTGTAGAATTCAGTGCATTATTTTAACTACACGGTTACCTGTCAGTGAAGATGTTAATGGCTAGCTCAGCCCTGCAAAACTCAGGGTAGTGATGAAGTCATATTGGCCTTAAAGCTTTGCTTCTACAGAATTTGGTAATATGTTTACCTGAGCGATCTTTTTACCTGAACCATCTTCTTACTGATGTGGTACTTTCCTGGGAACTAGGAACAGGGAAGAAGTGTGTCTCTCAAGTTGTGCTTTCCAGATGCCCTGCATTCCAGTCATTCTGAGTGCTCCCTTAGAATGCAAATTCCTTAGAATTCAGAGTCTGACACCCTGATTCAGGGGGTCTGAAGTGGGAGTGAGGTATTTGAAAAGGTCCACAGGTACTTCAGTGGTCCACCCACTTTTAAGAGCCCCTGTTTTTTATAAGTGGTGTGTAGTGTGAGGAGAAAGAGCACAGAGAAGGTGAGGGGTGGGAGGCACAGGAGGGTTGCTGACATAAAGCAAAGATTACATGTCTAACAGACTTTGCAGAGCTGGCAACGTGGTCATTGGAAATAACTATTCAAAACTGAAGACTTCCTAGAGACTTGAGCCTCAGAGCGTGGTCTCTGACCCGTAGGAATGGTGCTCATTTGTAGCCAGGTAGCTGGCCATCCTGTAGCTCAGTCGAGCTCATATGTAAATTTAAATGCTTGGCAGGTGCACGTCACAGTGACTATGTATTTTTTCTTCACAGTAAGGTCACCAAGAAATCACTGGAGAGAATCCTGCCGCAGCTAAAATGCCACTTCACCTGGAATTTATTCAAGGAAAAGGATACCTTAAGTCATCTAGAAGACAGAGTGTGTAACCAGATTCAGTTGCTAAGCACTGAATCCAAATCCACGATGTACAACCTGCTGGCCTACATGAAACATCTGCAAGGTGAAAACGAGGCAGCCCTGGAATGCTTACAGCGAGCTGAAGAGTTACTCCAGCGAGAGCATTCTGGACAAGCAGAAATCCAAAGTCTGGTCACCTGGGGAAACTATGCATGGATCTACTATTACTTGGGCCAGCTTGAAGATGCTCAGGCTTACGTTGACAAGGTGAAAGAGGCCTGTGTGAAGCTTTCAAATCCTTATAGCATCGACTGTGCTGAGCTTGACGCTGAGGAAGGATGGGCCCATCTGAAGTGCAAAAGAAATGAAAGGGCTAAGATGTGCTTCGAGAAGGCTTTGGAAGAGAAGCCTGACAACCCAGAATTCTCCTCTGGGCTAGCAATTGCAATGTACCACCTGGATTATAAGCCAAGGAAGCAGTTCCCTGACATAGCTCTGAGGGAGGCTATGGAGCTGAGTCCCGAGAACCAGTATGTCAAAGTTCTCTTGGCCCTGAAGCTGCAGAAAAGAAATGAAGAAGCTGAGGGAGAGCGACTGATTGAAGAGGCCCTGGAGAAGTCTCCTCAGCAAACAGATGTCCTTCAAAGTGCAGCCAAATTTTACAGCAATAAAGGTGACCTAGACAAGGCTACTGAGCTCTTCCTGAGGGCCTTGGACTCCACCCCTAACAACAACTACCTCTATCATCACATTATGCACTGCTACAAGAAAAAAGTCACACAGATGCTTCACACAGGAGAATCTGAAGCCAACGGAGTTAGAGAGAAGATTGAACAGTTAAGGGCCTTAATTATTGAGTACAAAAATAAGGTTGTTGAGAAGAACCCAAGGTTTCTGAATATGCCCTGTGATCTCACTGAGTTTGAGGAAGCAGAAGAATGTTATGAGAGGGTGTTCAGGAGGGAGCTTTCCAGTGCTAACAGGCAATAATTTTGTACTGACCTTAGTGACACTCAGCAATATTACAGGAAGTCAGAGGGCACCACAGTTAAAAATTATTTAGAGGGGCCGGGGAGATGGCTCAGTGGAATAAGCGCTTCCCTGGCAAGTGCAAGGGCCTGAGTTCAATCCCTGGTTCCACTACAAAAAAAAAATATTTAGAGACTTTTTTTATAAGCAAAATATCATCTGGGAAGAAAAAGATGAAGCGCAACACAAGTGAAAATCTACCTCCATGAAATGCACCAAGTCCTCACATCTGCAAGGGCTGAGCTGCAAGCCCAGGGGAGATCTTCCCTGAGCCACAGGCTGTTAAGAGAAGGAACTGGGCCACCTGCTAACAGACGTGCCTTTGGGCACAGGGCAGTGTGCTCGGCCAGTGCCTGAGCCTGAAGGCAGCAGCACTGGAACGAGGTAGCTATGCTTCCAGACAGCTTCCTGCAACAAAGAGGAAGAAGAGAAGCAAGGCACGTGGAGGCTCCACGTGATGGTTGTGGGGTGGGAGAAGGCTGGAGGAATAGGAGGCCCCCGCTGAGCTCAGTGCCATTGTCCAATGCCATTGCTGAGCTCAGTGCCCCCACTGAGCTCAGTGCCATTGCTTATGGCTTTCCAATACACTTTTTAAAAATGTTATTTTTAAATTACATATTTGGTAAAGGTTGTCTACGCAGCTTGGATTCGTAGTGATCCTCTGGTTTCAGCCTCCTCAGTGCTGGGATTACAGGCGTGGGCCACCATGCCTGGTCTCTGTGGCTGGCTCAGCACTTAGAGGTGGGGCTGGTGTGGTACATGGTACTGGGCATTGAAGCCCGGTTCCTGCGCTTGCCTAAGCAGGTGCTTCGTCCTCTGAGCTATCTCCCCAGACCCTTCCAGTACATTTTTAAAGAGTCGTGTTGCAGACACTACATGGCAATGGACTATTAACAACACCTCCAATCACTTCCTTTGTTTCACTTCCATTCAGCCTGAACGATTAACTTTTCTGCAACCTTAGAATGGTCCTTACACCTTCTTATTGCTTTAGCTATAGGTAAGTGTATTCATCCCCAACTTTATTTCCTTCTTTTTTTAAACAGGATCCTACTGAGTTGCTAAGTTGTCCAGTTTGGGTTTGAACTTATACTTCTCCTGCCTCATGTTCCCCTACTGCTAGAATTACAAGTGTGTACTGCCTCAGCTGGCTTTGTGTATGTTTTTGATAGTGATGCTATAATAAATCTAAAAATTTCAACTCACAATAGAGTTAATCGTGTGGTTTGAATGACTAAGACAGTAGTATTAACCCTCAACGTTTCTCCTACTAAGGGTGATGGGTAATGGCCAAGTCATCCCATGTTCTTCTCTTTCTTTCTTTCTTTCTTTCTTTCTTTCTTTCTTTCTTTCTTTCTTTCTTTCTTTCTTTCTTTCTTTCTTTTTTTTCTGTACCAGGGATTGAACTCAGGACCCTGCATTTGCCAGGCACCATGCTATTCTTGACTTGCCCATTTTAGCTCCTCCTTATGGCCAATCGTGTGCCCTACAGTCAGCCCATCCTTTGGCTTATTGGAACTGTGGCTCAGTCTGTCCCAGGACCCCCAGCTATTCCCAGTTAACAGCTGCTGCTAATAAATGAGGTTGCTGAGCACCTTGGAAAATGTCTCCTAGTGTTTTATGAGGGGCATCAATACTAGCCAGGTTTATGGATAAATGTGCTCCCAAGCCTGGAGTGGCCCCTTCAAAATTTTTAAAATTGACTTATTTATTTGGTACAGGGGCTCACTATGCAGCTTGGACTCTTAGTGATCCTCCTATCTCAGCCTCCCCAGACCAGGGATTACAGGCGTGCACAACGATGCCAGGTTTTGGTGGCCAGTATAGTATGCCCGGGGCTCATGTGATACCAGGGTTCAAACCCAGGTCTTTGAGCTTGCCAGGCAGACACTTAGACCACTGAGCTATCTCCCCAGCCCATGTAGTCATCCCTCCAAAACTGCTGACATCTTACATTATGAGTTTCATTGTGTTCAGGTAAACACCAGGTTTGGACAACAGGGTATCAAACTCATTGGAAATAGTCTCCTGACCTTTAGGGTTTTCCTTTATAGTCCACTTTTGATTCACTCATGAATATAATTTCATATCATAGCATGCAAATAGGAAAATAAAAGTGCATGAATATGACTAGAATTTGAATAATTTCCTACTAAATTACTTCCCCCTAGACTGGGCATTAATATAGTTATTATTTGTGAAATAAACCCTGAGATTATTCTCTAGGTGGCTTAACATCTATCTGGAAACTTGTTTGTGGGTTTGAAAATAGTAGAGAGACCACAACTATAAGTGAATTTGTCTCTGTGAATCTAGACCTTAAAACCACACCAAGAACCCACACACAGCAGCCCTGCTGTTCTTAGACAGCATTTGTATGTCAGCGACCCTTTCCAAGCCCAATTTGCCAGACCAGCTAGGCATTTTGAGTTCTGTCGTATCACAAGGATGGTTAAGTATATGATGGTAACTGCAGTTCCTAACAACGTGTTGCATACTTGAAAACTGTCAGAAGAGCAGACTTTTTATTTTTATTTTTTATTTTTTTTTTGAGGAACTAGCGATTGAACTCAGGCCTTTGTGCTTGCCAAGGAAGCAGTTATTCCACTGAGCCATCTCCCCGGTGCCTAGAGCAGACTTTTAAATGTCCTCAACACACAAAATGACAGGCATCTTAGTAACTTTTGTTAAATAGGTGGATATTATCATTCCACATGTCTACACCTTGGAGCATTCTGTACCCCATATATATATATATGGCTTTCCAATACACTTTTTAAAAATGTTATTTTTAAATTACATATTTGGTAAAGGTTGTCTACGCAGCTTGGATTCGTAGTGATCCTCTGG